GCCGGCCATCGACACATGCAACACTCGCCGCAGTTGTAGCTAATCCGTGAACGCTGCCGGAACTCGCCGCCGCGCTTGAAGCACCATGGCCTCGTGAATGGATGTAGCAAAACACATCGCCACTCGTAGCAAAAAACGAGGCTGTTGCAACAAAAAGTCGTCTTCATCGTCGCCGGTCACGCCTCGGTCGTAAAAAAGCGCCATGGCCGCATGAATGGATGTAGCACAACACACAGACGGTAGTAGCAAAAAATTGACACGGTTGTAGCTTTTCTCACAAATGGTTGAAGCTTTCCCCCTACGATGGAAGCTTTTCTGTAAACCATTGAAACTTTTTTCATTTTGAGCAGCTCCTGGGTGAAATCTTCCTCTATCGTTCGGTTGCAGCAAAATCACAGAGAGACGCCATGGCCGTCGTCGAGAAAGATTTCTCAATCTCTATTTGAAGCTTTTTCATCTGCAGGTTGAAGCTTTTTGTCAAACGGTTGTAACATTTCCTGTATTTTGTTGTCTAGTTGAAGCTTTTTTATCTACTTGATGTAGCTTTTTGTATCTGTGGTTGTAGCACGGAAAAACACCGTTTGCAACTCTCCCAGTACCGCGGTTGCAGCTCCTCCCCGTGGCCATGGTTGTAGCACGGGCACCTCGGTCCTCCCGGCGTTTTGTCTGTCGCCAGTTGCAACAAAAGGGGAAGAGAGGAGGAGGAAAAGGGAAGAGAGGGAGAAGGAAAAAAAAGGAGGTGGGAAGGCGAGCGGGGCTGCAATCTATATCCATGGCCGACGGCGAGCTGCTCCACGCGCTACAATGGGAAGACGAGATGGGGTCAGACGGCTGGCGGAAGGAAGAAGAAGCAAAGAAAAAAGAAAAAAAAAGTAAAAAAGTTTGGGTCAACTAAACGCACGCCTACCAGCGTGTCCCGCGGGTGAACAAGGGAAGCGACCGGCCGAGCGCTTCGGCCGGCGCACCGGGCCCAAACACTTACCTTCCGCAAAACATGCAGCCGTTGTTTTGATCCACGATTTTTACGAGAGGAGAAACTCGTAGTCGACACGTACTCGAAACTCGTAGCCGAGTCGGGGCACGAGATACCATCACGTACGAATATAAAAGGCGAGACCCCCACCCGATTTCCTCCACCAGAACATCGACGAGACATAAAAAAGAGAACCAGAACATCGAGGAGAGCAGGAAATCCGTCGGGAGGGATTCGAGCGCTAAGCCAACAACAACCACGTGACCAAGCAAGTTAGCAAAACATGGGCTGCAGCATGAGCCGGTTCGTCAAGGCGACGATCGCAGTCGTCTTGCTCGTCATGATCTTCATGTCCGGCGCAATGGCGGCCACCAGCTTGGACGCCACCCGGATCCAGCAGCTGCCATTGGCGGACGGACTTCTCCAAGGGCCAGAGAGCGTCGCCTTCGACGCCCAAGGTCACGGCCCATATAGCGGCGTCTCCGACGGCCGCATTCTCAGATGGGACGGTGACAAGACAGGCTGGACCACTTACGCATACGGCCCTGGCTACGACGAAGACATGTGCACGGCTTCGATATTCCGCCCGGCAACTTCCACGGAGAGTCAGTGTGGCCGGCCGCTCGGGTTGCAGTTTCACCACAAGTCTGGGGATCTATACGTGGCCGACGCCTACAGGGGACTCATGCGGGTTGGTCCTGGTGGCGGGGAAGCCACAGTATTGGTCAGTGCGGTTGATGATAAACCTCTCCGCTTCACCAACGGGGTTGACGTCGACCAGGTCACCGGTCAAGTCTACTTCACTGATAGTTCTATGAACTATGACAGGACGCAGCATGAGATGGTGACGAGATCAGGGGATTCAACGGGGCGTCTCATGAGGTACGACCCACGTACCGGTGATGTGGCGGTGCTTCAAACACGCCTGGCGTATGCAAACGGCGTCGCTATCAGCACCGACCGTACGCATCTGATTGTTGCATCTACTGGGCCGTGCAAGTTGATAAGGCACTGGATCGAAGGGGCAAAGGCGGGGACGTCTGAGCCGTTTGCCGATCTCCCCGGCTACCCTGATAACGTGAGGCCTGACAGAAGGGGAGGTTACTGGGTGGCGTTACATGGTGAGAAGAATGAATTGCCCTCTCGCCCCAATAGTCATCTGCTCGCTGTGAGGGTAGGAGCTGACGGCAAGATACTTGAAGAGATGAGGGGGTCCAAGCGTGTCAAGCCGGCGGAGGTAGTAGAAAGAGACAATGGCAAGCTCTACATAGGTTCTATTGACTTGCCCTACGTCGGTGTAATTACACGCAAGTAGGAGCCTCGAATATTTTTTGTGGTTAGCAAATAGATGTAATTTTTTGTTATGCACATTGATTGTCGATAAATTATTTTGTATGTCTTTAGTTCCTTAGAACCATTAAAGTTTTTCTTTTCTTGATTGATTGCAATAATCGTGAGTTCCTTTGTTGACGGAAAGGTTACCAATTGTAAGTGCCTTTTCCATACGACAAACTGTTCATTAATCTGATGCATGCTTTGACGATGATTTCCCCGTGTTTGAACCAGAGAACATTTTATGTGCGGCGATCATCAGAATAACTAGTAGTGTTTTCGTCCGTCCAGACTGTGGGAAGGTGGCCGTATTTGCCGTCGATTGCCATATTGAGCTGTCTCGTATCCCATAATACTACTCGGATTCGGAGGGAAATCAAAAGATCGAGACTGAAACCAGGATCAATGGATTTTGGACTAAACAACAGCTCGTCTAGATGACACGTTCGGTACGTGCGTCAATCACTTCTTGGTGATGAACACATCGTAGAGCACGGTGTCGGAGCGGGCCCCTCGTCCATGCCGACGCTGACGAACTTCTTGGCGAGCTCCACTTCCTTGTTGACGCCAAACTTGTTGATGTGGTGTCCAGCACATCGATGTGGTACCCACCGCTCTCGTCGCCACCGGCGCCTCCCAACGACGACGCCGAACTACGATTTCATCATGGTCTCGAACTCATCCAAGGTGAGCACCCCGTCTCCGTTGAGATCCAACCTACGCACCATGGCGCGGCGTCCCGGCTGGCGCCCATCTCAGGCCCGCCGGCGAGATGGTGCGATGAGAAGCCCGTGTGCACGGCGCAGTTGGTGGTGCCACGGTACAGTCAAAAGAAGTTCACTGGGCCAAAACTGAAGTTCAATTTTAAATGGCACGTACGTCCGTTCTAAATAAACCCATCGTTCTCTCCTCCTATGGTATTCCGTCAAAGAAGGTCACTCATTTTACTTTTCCTGGTCCGAAATTTAACTCGCTCTTGGTGTCACCGTAGAAATTCTGTAGTAGGTGCTATTTGGCTTAGTTTGCTAATTCCCAGCTATAAATACCAACACAGCAGAACTCGATGTCAACCAGCAGGAAACCAGCTACGATCCCAGCCGAGTGAATGAGCATGGCCGCATCAAGTGAGTTCAGTCGTGTGTTCGCGGCGTTCGACCAGGACGGCAACGACAAGATCTCCACGGCCGAGCTGCGGCTCTGCATGAAGGAGGCGCTGGGCAGCGACATGTCGGCTGACAGTCTGACTGGAAGGAGCTCTTCAACATTGTTTTCAGCTGACAGTCCGACTGGAAGGAGCTCCCCTCCCGCGTCGCTCCCGTGGGCGACCCAGGAGGAACCCTAGCCGCCACCGCAGCAGTCCCGCTCCCTTCCTCCTCCTCCCCCCGCCGCCGCCGGAGGGCGTTGCCGGGAAAATCCCGCGCCGGCGGGGACGCTCTCCTCCTCTCGCTCGGATGGCGCGGCGCGGGGACGCTCCACTGGCGGCGGGGGCTTGCGTGCGGCCTGGGGCGTGCGCCGGCGGTGGTGGCGCTTGGAGGTAGCGTGAGCGGCGCGGTGGCGCGGGCGACGGTGGTCTGGGTCAGCCGCATCGATCTGGGGGAGCTCCATGCCCAGATCTGGCTCCCCTTGAGCAGCGGCTCACTCGTCCTGCCGGTGCTCCCGGTGGCCGTGTCCGGAGGATGATGGCGGGGCGGAGATGCTGGGCGGTGCGGCGTGGTGGCACGGACAGCAAGGTGGCGAAGGTGAGCTGCTCTACTTGGTCTGTGAGGCTTCATGGCATCCAGATCCGGCCTTTCCTTTGGCAGCAGCTGGCTCGGGCGGCGGTTTTCCGTGGCCACGGCTGGGGGGTCGGTGGTGGATGCTGCCGGCGGGGCATGATGTGGCCGGTGGTGGGAGGTTGGGTGCTGGTGGCAGCCAAGGTCAGTGGCGGAGCCAGGAAAAAAGAATGAGGAGGGCCGAGTGTTGCCGAGCCTTGTCAGGGAGGGCCAACCCACCATAATACACCATTTTCATAGCAAATAATCACTTGTTCAGATGTATATTAGGCTTAAATCAGTTGTATTAGGGGGGGGGGGGCAGGGCCCCTGCTGGTCCCCCCTGTCTCCGCCATTGGCCAAGGTTGCTCTAACTCCTTTTTGTGCGGATGCTCAAGGTGAGCAGCTGTGTCTTCGAAGCTTCTTGCTGGACCTGGTGGGAACGCTCGCCGTGACTAGCATGGGGATGGGCGATCTTGTGTTGCTGGAATCAAGCGCTGGCATCTGCGGAGACGACCAGGTTGGGGATGCTTCAGGCGAAAGCCTTGTGCCGACCTTGTTGGCAACAATGACGGCGACGCCTTTGGGCGCCATTTCCCTTCTTGAAGGGTCATTGGGGAGCTGCTGCCACCTGCTTATTCGTGTGCTCCTGGCGAAAGCTTTAGAACCTTTTTTGGTTCGGACAACGATGGCATCTTGATGTCGTTCTCCTCCTTGGGGGCGTTGTTTTTCGGAGCCACGAAAATTCATTGTCGGTTGCTCGATGTCTGGGTAGCAGAGGTTGTTGGGTGGTTGGAATGCTCGGTGGTGGCGGTGGAAGTGGTATGTGGCGGCGACTGGTGCCTTGGTCATCCTGGTGCTGTTGGTTGACCTCTCATGGGGGCTCATGGCGACGGTGATGTCTCGGTGTTTGGTGCCCTTCAACGGCGCGTGAGATTTTGTTGCTTTGCATAGTGCTCTGGCTCCCTCTATTTGTGATGGTGGCCATGGTGTGGCCTAGAGGAGGTGCAGGGGCTGTCTCTGCGGAGCATTGCCCTTCGGCACGGTCAGTGGCTCTCTCTGTCGCGACATGGCTAGGCAATGGGATGCCCTTCGATGGCGATTGTGACTTCCTAGCTCTTCAAGGTGTGAGTGATCGCAGAGCAGCGGGTGACTTCTTCTCTTCGTCTTCTCGGCAACAAATCTCCTTTCAACTGATCCATCAAAGCTAGCTCCTGCTCTCTCGGTTATCCTAGTCGTGATGGGTGCTGTCAGCTACTTGCCGTAGCTGGTTTCCTGGTTCTTCTCTGTTGTCTCTTATTCCTTCTTGTATGTGTTGGGTGCTACACTTGTGCAGCCGTTGTGTTTGTATATCAGTCTTAACTATGATAATGAAAATGGTTCAGGCCGACATAAGCCCGCCATAGCTTCGTCAAAAAAAAACATGTCGGCTGAGGAGGTGCAGGCCTTGATGGCCTCCACGGATACCGATGGCGTCGGGCTGCTAGACGAGGAGGAGTTCCTGAGGCTGGTGCGAGGCTGAGGCCGGCGACGAGGAAGAGGAAAACAGGTGCAGGGAGGCGTTCCGGATGCGCGAGCTCAGCCTCAAGCTGATGATGAGCAGGCTAGGGCTGCACCTGGACGCCGACAGTGTCAACTTATGATCCGCCGGTTCGATCTCAACGGCGACGGGGTGCTCACCTCCGACGAGTTCAAGACCATGATGATGATGATGGCATGAGATCTAAGATTATGCCCACACATACAAAAACTGAACTTCTATGCAAGACATTGGGTTTTCTATAATGAAAACGGGACAGGGTGGCCTCTCTTTTGCTCAAAAAAAAAAGGGAACTTTGTATACTTTCTCTGGTTGATTGTAATTCTATAATTTCTATCTTTGATTCAGCAGCGATACAAGTGTATTGTTCTATAGCCAACTAGACTGTCTTAATATCCCAACACCCACAACCCTTGAGAAAAACAAAGTGCCAAACTAAAAAAGATGAACAAATGACAATGCTTCCATTTCCAGTGCTCCACTATAATATCAGTGGATACCTGGGAGGGACATGACACATCTATAAAATGTTGCAACGAAGAAAAAACATCTTTCCAGCAGTAGCCTATAAATAGCACTCACCCATCATTATTCCAACATACCTGGTCCTAAATAAAACAGATGGACCAGACTCCACACTTGACTCCTTGGCACCTTCCATGCTCCAGTAAAAAGAACAGACACGAAGGCCCCAGCAGTCGAACCTGTACACTACGGTCTTCTTCGCCAAGGGCGCATAAACGTTAAAAACTAGATTGCCCCGACGAGCCAGCTGACCGGTTCATCCACTGCACAGAGTTACAGCAATACAAGTACATGTTCTCCACGGTCTATTTGTGATCATCAGGTGGGTGTGCTATAGTAAATGACCCACATAAAAGGGGGGATCCATCTCTTTTTGTTGGTCTATGAGATTAATCTGAAACCTACACTTTAAGTCACAGACTGAATAAGGCTACTTTCCTGAGCCCATGGAACTTCTACAAGCTCACACCTTTACTTATCAAGGGCGCAATCATTCATGTCTTCAGATATAAGAATCACCATCCAAAGATAATTGCGTCCAGGCCTTGAGCTACATCAACCAGGAACCGATTCAGAAGTGATGTGTCCACCGCTAGCACCAGGGGGGGTAAAACTGCTGGCTGGCGTGGTTCTCTGAGCGAAATCGAGCAGCATCTGCCGTTGCTGCTCGTTTGTGTGAGGAAGGCTTGCACGTAGCAACTCAACTGGCATCTCCCTGCTAGTTGCTTGGGAGGCTTCAGATCCAATCACAGAGCCTGATGCCTGCATCACAAACATCTGCAGAATACTTTCATACTTACTGAGGCAGTATTTTGTCAGAAGCCCAAAGAAAGCATCAAACGATGCCTGCCAGAGAGCTCGGTTTGACGGGGTATAGCTGGATACGGCACGCTGATCAGTCAGCAACTCAGTTGCTCGGTCCAGTACTGACTTGATAATAAGAGAAGCCCCGTCACCAGCAGAGCTACCAAGAGGACGGAGAGGTGGTTGTTCAGATGAACAGACAACTGCAGCAAGGCAAGCACTAAGAGCACCGAGCTCCATATGGTGAGCACAAGTCGAAACAGTCTTTGCCAGAGCAACTGTTGTCTCTGCTGCACTTGAATCTGATGGTAAACCCCCAAACAAGAACCTCAGGTGTCGGAAAATAGCCATGCATACAATCCTGGTCAACTCGCTTCCAGGGACAATAAGCCGGATATAACGAGCCAGAAGCTTACGTCCTTTGGGAAGAGAAACAATGCGAAGAAAGACAATATCATCCTTAGGGGCTAACCCAGATGAATTGGCAGATTTGCTGGGCCCAAGAGGGTCAGCAAGCTGAAGTGATGCGGCTAGACCTTCAAGGAGAACTTGTCGCCTTCGCCTCAGCTGGAAACTGTTCTCCTGTGCCTGGCTAGACTGCAGGAGCCTGTCAATATCATCCACCTCAAGAAGAAGACCAATGGCATCTTCAACAGTGACCCTGGCTGCTAGCATAGGTTCTTTCTCCAGGGACCTCACGGAAGACTTCTGATCATGAGGACCCTCACCTGACAAAGGATTGTCAACTTCAAGAAGAGACCGGGGCCTGCGAATGGAAGAGAAAGAAACTCTCCCAAGAGCATCGACCTGAAGATATGCATGCTGGTCACCACTTGATCTGGACTTGGAGGGCAAGTCTTTAATTGATGTTGGGGAGAAATTGGTCTTTTGCCTAGAACTGGAACCCTTTTTCGCCATGCAAGCTTGATGATAATAATCAACAACATAAGGATCACTGCTGTGACTTGCTGAGTGCTGCATTCTTAGAATAGACTCAATCTCGTCAGATGACATGTACTTGGATCTAAACTTCAGTCCACCACTCTCACCATTCTGACTACCAGTAGTATCAGATGGTGGTTGAGAAAAACGTAAACTGTGTTTCCCCCTTCCTGATCTTGATCTCTTGTCTCTTGATGAAGGAAGACTGGTAGCAGATTCAAACCTGCCTGGTATCTCTGGGGGGTGATGATGGTAGAATAGGTGGGGTGGTAAATTTAGGTAATTCTGATGGTGGGATGGTTGGAGCTGTGCCAATCTCTGCTGTTGCTGAGAGAATAGCAGTGATGACATTGGGCTATTCGGAAGCGATATTTGTTTCTGTAACAAGTTTGGCAGTAGATTAAGGTGCTCCCCAGTGAACAGGTTGGCTTGGTTTGACCAGTCATTTTGCATTGGATTGCTTACATGCATATTAGGACCACCAAAGGGCATGCTTCCCCCATATGGTAGTCCATGAGGTAATCCAACCATATGATACGGGGAACCTGGCAGTGGCATGCTCGGAGAACCCATCTGTATCCCAGCTCCAAATGATGGAATGCTCCCATGACGTGTAAGACCTTGAGCAGGATGTGGTGATCTACCACCTGGTGGCGGAAACGAGGTAAACGGAGGAGACTTTGGTCCTGTGATAGGTTCACTGGAACGGTGCTGCAGTGGCTGCTGAGGATAGGAAGATGTTCGACTTAACGGTTTGTTGTCCCCTTGCTGCACCAAAGAATGTGACTGCGATGACCACCATCTTTTACCTTCCTGGAATTCCTCATTTTCTAATATATCTTGATAATTGGGAAACTCCACATCCTCAGTCCAATCAACAGTTAAAGAACCTGAAGAATAAAAATCATTCCATAGATCAGTAACATATTGAATCTTGGGGCTTAAAATTGACTTCTATTATACACATAAGTTCAACATAAGACAATTTTCTTATCCCGACAGAACAATATATAAGAACCAAAATTCGAGTCTACAAGGGATTGAAGTTTGCTTCAAATAGTTGCTTTCCAACCAATAAATACAGACACCTAACCACTCTTCCTGATAACACTGATGAC